CCCCACTCCCATCCCACAGCCCCCCACAGCGGTGCCCCCCACTCCCGCCCCGCAGCCCAGGTCACACTAGTCCACACCCCTTTCCTCATTCCTCGCATGCCTGGATGCCTCTGCCCCGCGCCCAGGCCCTGGGGTTGTTTCCTCCCTGTCTCCTTCTCCCCAGGAGACGCACCCGGATGCCTGGCCTCCTTTCCTTCTGACTCAGCTGCCTCTGCCCCCATGAATACCTGGGGGGAGAGGAGAAGGGAACCCAGGGGTCCAGGCTCCCAGGCCCACCCCGCTGCCACCCCGTGGCGGAGGCGGGTTTCAAGGTAGCAAATCTGAGGACTCTGCCCTGTCACGCGTGACACGGGAGAACCCAGGTGTCTGTGCTCCCAAACCCCGTAGCCCCATACACCCCAGACGTCTGGGCTCCCAGCCCCCAACCCCCCTAGTCCCACCCCACCCCACACACACCCCAGACAACCCTGGTGTCCAGGCCTCCAGCCCCCTCTTTCTCCCAAAGAAAAGCCAAGAGGCAGTCTCTTGTTGTGAAAAGTTCATTACCAATGGTAATTAATTAGCATCAGCATTTCTTACAACTATTACTATATTGCTATGGTCTTCATGACTGTTATCATGTTACAATCTATGAATCGTGACTATCATCGTCCTCGTGTTAGTTATGCTCATTATGGCTCTAATGACTCCTTCTTGCACACTAATTCAAGCATTGGTAGTAGCAACGATACTTTCAGCAGCAGCATTATTCCCCACCCAAAGCCCCGTCTCTGAGGTCAAGGTTCCTTCTTCTACTCTTGGAATTGGCTCTCTCTTTTTGTCCAAAACCAGATGAATTGTGGGGGGCCACATCAATGATTTCCGGGTAAACCCCCCCCCCCCCCCCCAAGACTCCTTTTCATTGGAAAGCCATTGGCTGCATCCAAGATGGTGACTCCCGGTGCAGTTGGCTGGTAGAATCCAAGATGGAGGCTCTGGAGCCGTTGGTTGGTACATCCCTAGATGGAGACATCCAATGCAGTTGATTGGCAGAATCCAAGATGGCGTCTCTGATGCTATTGTTTGGTAGAATCCAAGATGGCAGCCCCCAGTGCCATCACTTGGTTAACTCAAAGACTATTGCTCCCATGCCAGTCGACTGGTAAAATCCAAGATGGCGGCCCTGGCTATGCATGTAGGTAAAATCCAAGCTGGTGTATAAATGACAGCCATGCAGTGAATCAATGATGGCGCCCCTCCCCCCTTGTATTCAGTGGCTTGGTAAAATCCAAGATGGCGAACATATGCATTGGCAGAACCCAAGATGGTGGACATCTCGTGGCTGTGTGGCAAATCCAAGATGGCTGGGTGAGTACAATATAGCCACCAGCACATGCCCAATCGGGAACACCCAAAATGGCTGCTCCCATCCAGATGGGTGTAGGAGGCCAACATGGCCGCTCGGTTGTGACCAGAATCCAAGATGGCTGCCCCACCCCCCTCCCCATGAGCTGGGTGAGTCCAAAATGGCCGCCATTCCGTGACCAGTGGCCTGAAATACCCTCTCAGCTCCAATATGGCAGCCCAACTGGAAGAACCAAAATGGCTGCCTACTCAAGATGGCTGGCCAGTCCCACTGGCCAATAGGGCACAGAACCAAGATACCCACCCACTCCCCTCTAGGCGGCCATATCCAAGATGGCGGAAGCCACCATGGTTGCCATGGGAATCCAAAATGGGGAAGGGAGTTGGGGGCCATCTTAGCCCCTCCCACTAAGATAGTGGCCTAGCAGGACACGGCTCCGCCCCCCTCACTTTCCCGCCTCTTCTCCCTCAGCTCCACCTCCTCCACCCTAGCCCCACCCCTCCGAGCCACTTGTTGCCCACAGCAACAGGCCTGGCCCAGCCAATGGATGCCATAACCAGCAGCGACGAGGATGTTGACACAGGCCGAGAGCGCCAAGATGCCGATGGCCAGGCGCTTGTCGGCGTAGCCCATCACAGCACAGGGAAGGGCCGCAGGGCAGGCCCGGAACTGGGGGTGGCACCAGAAGGCGGGGCCAGCCACCATCGGCAGTTGTTGGGCAATCAGGTCCCATAGTAACCAGGTCTCGCTGGCCACCAGGGCCCCAGTGCAGGCCACCAAGATGGCAGACAACCAAGATGGCAGCCGGGTCTTGTGGTGGGCATGGGCAGTTGCCGGGGCAGCCATCTTGGCTGTGGGTACCATGGTGGTGGCCATGTTGGTGTCCTCCACTGGCATGGCGGCCATGTTGGTTCCTTTCCCCCACCAGTGCCTGGTGGCCATCTTGGATTCCTCCTCCGACAGCCACACGTACATCACGTTGCCATCCTCACCAGTGGCCATGTTGGCAGCTGCACCGCAGCTGTTCCCCAGGCAACACTTGGCGGCCATGTTGGATTTGTCAGGAAGGCGGCACCGGGCAGCCATGTTGGGGTCCTGAAGGAAGTGCTGCCTGGCCACGTTGGGAACATCACTGGGGGCCCCCTCCGTGGCCATCTTGGAGCCTGTACTGCAGCAGCCCCTGGCAGCCATATTGGATCCCTCATTCCAGGCCATATTGGAGACCTCTTTTAGGCACCGCCCGGCAGCCATATTGGATCCCTCAATGCAGCAGCTCCCCGAGATTGGATCCCTGGCTGTAGCCGTGCCTGGCAGCCATATTGGAGTCCTCATGGCCACAGCTCCTGTCGGCCATATTGGAATGTTCTCCCAGGTGCCACTCGGCAGCCATATTAGATCCCTCCCTGCAGCTATTTTTAGACCCCCCCCTGCAGCTATGGCTGGCGGCCATATTGGACACCTCTCTCCGGTGATGCCTCCCCTCCCTGTCCCGCTCCTCGCCATCTGTGGGGTACAGGGAACGGATGATGGTGATGGGGATGAGGGCGAGGAGGAAGGAGAGGCCCCAGGTGGGGGTGATAGCGTTGTGGAAGTGCCGGTTGTAGCAGACGACCTTGCAGAAGCGGCGCAGGGCCTCGGCCTGCTCCTCCTGCTCATTGGGCACCGTGGCAGTCCAGGCGCAGGCCAGGTCGTGGCGCAGGGTGCGCCAGGCCCCGCGGGCGAAGAACATGGCCATGAGGCGCAGGCCCAGCAGGAGGTACCAGTGTCGGACGCTGGGTGGCCCCCGGGTGCCCTGCAAGACGTGCAGCACTGGGTGGAGGAACTCCACCACTGACTCCACCACCGCCGACATCTCTGAGAGAGAAGAGCTGGGTCAGGGTGCTGGACATGACCCCTCCCCACTCCTAGGCAGGGAGAGTGGGGGTGCCAGGTGCTATAGGGACCCCCAGACTGAGATCACGATGGGCTGGGGGCCGTACAACCCCCGCCCCCCCGGTTGAGGGTGCATGACACCAGGCTCTATATAGATCCCCCTAGCAAATATAGGGGGTATCAGGCATTATAGGGACACCCCAGGTGCATGCAACGCATTATACAGACCCTTCCAGCAAAGGTAGGGGTAGCAGGAGCTATAGGGACCCCCAATTGGATATTGTGGGGGTCCCAGGGTCTATACAGAGCCTGCCCAGGCAAATATAGAGAGTATCAGTCACTATAGGGACCCCCTCAAGCTGATCTCGGGGAGTGCCAGGCCCCCTCTCCAGCATATATAGGATGCACCAGGTGCTCTAGGGACCCCCCCCAGATGGATGCCAGGTCCTGTACAGACCCCCCAGGTAAATATAGGGGGTACCAGGTGCTATAGGAACCCCCAGCTTGATCTCAGGGGGTGTCAGGCTGCATATAGAACCCCCAGACAAGTATAGGGAGCACCAGGTGCTACAGAGACCCCCCAGGTGGATGCCAGGTCCTATCAGATTCCCCCCAGGCAAATATGGGGTGCACTAGGTGCCATAGGACCCCTCCAGGTGGATATCAGGAGGTGCCAGGTTCATTACTGACTCCCCCCCACCAAATATAGGGGGCACCGGGTGCTATAGGGAGCCCCAGGTGGAGACCTGGCTGTGCCCGGTGTGTTGTGTGCCCTCCCCGCCTTCCCCTATGGTGCCACGTACCTGCGGAGGTGTCAGACTCCTGGCCCCATCACCCTGGCAGCTCTGCACGTCTGGACAACCACGGGGCCACAGGGGAGGTAGATATTGGGGCCAGGCCGGGCCCCGGGGGTGGAGGGGAAATCCCGAGGCCCAGTAGGAAGCAGGTCCCAGCTTCCCGGATCCCGGGAGAGGATGGGAGGGGACCCAGGCATCTGGGCAGGCCTCCCACGGGCGGGGCAGCGACTAGGATCAAGCTGAGCCTTGGGGTTCTTCCCAGGAGGGTGGGCTCCCAGAATCCCCTGCTCTCAGCTCCCCATCCCCGAGAGCCCAGGCGTCTGGGCTCCCTGCTGCCAGCCCCCCACACCCCCGAGAACCCAGGCATCCAGGCCCAGCCTGGCACCCCATGCCCACACTCCAGCCCCGGGATGAAGCCTGTCCCAACTGCACCCCTGGAGGCGGAGGGCTGCGGCGGGGGTGCAGCGGGGGGGGGGGGGGAGGGCCCCTTGTC